CTCTTGAATACATGAATCTGCATAGCGTTCTCCTCTTCGTCTCCACACACGAGTTCGTCCATCACTACGGCGAAGATGGAATCTTGATTCGTTCGTCCATAAGACAGTTGACCATTGCCTGTGTGACCATCTCTGACGTTGTTGTGACCATCTAAGGCGATTTTGGCGTCGTACTGCTGTCAGCATGTTACTACGGAAAGACCGCCGTGCTCTTAATCTACTGCTGCGCAAACGGCGTCTTACCGTGTTTGCTCCAATTTGTCTCCTATGAACGCCGACAGTCTCTCGTGCTGATTGGACTGCCGTACGGAAACGATCTCGCAGGTGCTGAAGACGAATGTATCGGTCCTGTTGGGCAGTAGTTGCTCTCTGCCTTCAGGGACGTGGCCTATCATTCAAAGAGTCAGTTTGGTTGAATCTTTGGATGAATCTGGTAATTGTTGAGGCCGAACACTGCATTATGCGTGCAATTTCACGACTTGAAATGCCTCCTTGCACCATGCCCCAAACTTCATGTCTCTGGTAGTCTAAAAGTCTTGGCATCTACACCTTAGTTTATTGCAATGGCTTACAAAAAAGGATGGTAAATTTCAATTCTTAAGCAAGGCTTTCCAAAACAAACATGAGAAAATCACTCGTGCGTAAAATAGCGGTGCACTCGACTCTCCCCCTTTTCGGTAATCAAGCACGTAATTTTTTTCTAAAATCATTCAAGCGTAAAGTTGTCGAAAGAAGTCTGAGAATTCATTTTTAAACCGATATAGGTAATCATTTAAAAAAAAATATTTATATTTTTTTTAAATATTTGAAATTTACAAGTGTTGCGTTTTCATTGGCTCTCAGTATATATAACCAGCTACAAATGTATAGACAGTGGATAAATAACATTACTTTTCTGGTTTTAATGAAAAACTGCGATTTTACTAATGATATTCCAAATTGAATTCAAAGGAACATTTATGATTTACATGTATTTGTCACTTCGGGTTTAAAAAAAAGGCGAAAGGTACCAAAATGATATTCGCAATGAGTCTGAGCCGAAGACCAACTGACAAACAACGCCATGACAAGAAACGTTAAACCATGAAAAGACAAACAAAAATCCACGAAACACGACCTAGAAAACCAAAGTCTGGTTAACAGGAAACCCATAAAAACAAGGGTTGTGCATGATTGCATTTAATAAAAAACTTGAATTGTACATTTTAAATGTGAAACGACTTGATCAAATTTCTTAAAGTATTTAGATCAAGGCTTGTTATTCCGACCTTCTTACCTTGCTGGAGTACATGAGAAAAACGCCTATGCTTTTGTAAGGTCTTATTTTTTTAAACCTGTAAGAATTCGACAACCAATAAAAATATTATTCAATCATCTTTTTTTATCTAAATAACAGAAAAAAAATTGGCTTCAACATTGCATTTTGTGAGATTACTGATTTGGACTACAGTATTACCGATGTAAGTTATCTGAGGATATGAACGTAGATAACTATTTCAAATAATATCATTGATAAACAAACAGTAAAGTCGTACAGGTCTGTTACTTGTTACCCAGTCTTTATCTTCCTCGTCTAACAGGTCAAAGCTTTTAAAGCGTAATCATTTGCACCCTTACACACGCAGCATTCTTAGTGATTAAGATTTTCCTTGCAAAAGATCATGCTAAAAGGTCCGATGGTCCTTTCTCCTGTAATTCTTCGTCAACAAATAATGGAAACAATCCTTTATTCGACATTGTTCTAAAAATTTGTGAAGATTAGGAACATAAATATTGCTGTCCCTTGTTATATCGATATGAATAAAATTGAGAATGGAAATGGGGAATGTGTCAAAGAGACAACAACCCGACCATATGGCAGACAACAGCCGAAGGCCACCAATGGGTCTTCAATGCAGCGAGAAACTCCCGCACCCGGAGGCGTCCTTCAGCTGGCCCCTAAACAAATATGTATACTAGTTCAGTGATAATGGACGTCATACTAAACTCCAAATTATACACAGGAAACTAAAATTAAAAATGATACAAGACTAACAAAGGCCAGAGGCTCCTGACTTGGGACAGGCGCAAAAATGCGGCGGGGTTAAACATGTTTTTTGAGATCTCAACCCTCCCCCTATACCTCTAGCCAATTTAGAAAAAAACAAAACCTAAATAAAGATAGTCAAATGATTATGTTATGCCCCACTTAGGGGCATTATGTTCTTTGTTCTGTGTGTCCGTTCGTCCGTTCGTCCCGCTTCAGGTTAACGTTTTTGGTTAAAGTTTTTGGTAAAGGTAGTTTTTTATGAAGTTGACATCAAATCAATTTGAAACTTAGTACACATGTTCCCTATGATATGCCAAATTAGAGTTTTGACGTGTAATTAAGGTGCGTTCTCACTGGGGCTTACACAAGTGTAAAACAAGTTTAATTTAATTTTTACATTTATCAAAAAGTACCAAGTGAAGGCTTTCATTCTGAAAATATTTGAGGTACTACTAAATGAAAGTTCCTTCATAACATAATGGTAGAAATGTTCTGTATTATTGCTGCACTGGATCAAATTCCTTAGGGAGCTACCATTTGATTTTTATGGGGGGCTAGGATGAAATTTGAAAAAAAAAGGCAGGACAGGAGTTTTGAGTAAAAAAAAGGCAGGATGAGCAACTTGGTAAAAAAAAAGGCAGGATGACAATTTGTGTAAAAAAATTCAGGATAAACTAGTAAAAAAAAAAGGCAGGACCGAATAGAGTAAAAAATAAAAAGACAGGACAGAGATTACAACAAAAAAAAAGCAAGACAACATTTTTCATCCTAGCCCCCCCCCCCCTTAAAAATCAAATGGTAGCTCCCTTACGCAAAAGAACATAGATTGTGTGATATGTGTTCAAACAGGAACAGACATAATATATAGCATTGTTTATAAGAAAGTTTCCCATGTAACTTCTGTCAGGCAGAATAAATATATTTGACAGAGCTAGGTTGACAATTTACTGCATGCCAAACAATTGAAAAGTTTCCATTTTAAGGACTTAAAACTTGAGCACACAAAAAGTGTTTGACATTGGCATGTGAAAATGACCTAAATTTTCTATTACATATACGTAGCAGCGTAAAATATAACTATATATATAGCCTCTTAAAGACCATATGACGATCAATATAATTAATAAGATATAATGGGGCTATTTAACATTCTCATTTTATTAATAATTACACGATAACATTCATAATGATTGCAATTTGTCAACCTGGTACAATTTGAATATAAACAAGAAAACCAATACCGGATTTCTGATACTAGCGGTGTGACCTTATTTAAGGATAAGCACTTCCTCCTTTATAAACGTAAATACGTTTGAAGGGTTCGGTCAAATTTGCGGTATTTCCTTAATTTGTTGTTAAAGTTTTCGAAAGAACATCCTTGTGAATAAAATTCTTTTATGTTCAATTCATATATCAACTTTTTCGGTATTTCCATGATGGTTAGCCTGAGAATATCCTATGAAAATCGTTTTGTTCTTAAAGTCAAAGTCAAAGAATTTATAGATATGAAATCGTTGATTTTAATCATAATATATATATAAACTTTTAGATTCAAGACAAAAAGTATATAAAAAAAAATGATAAAAAGAAATCTATTTGTTTTTCAAATGTGACTGAGGAAGTGCAAAGCTTACAGACAGTTATCAGTGTTCAAATAAAAATAGCATATAAATTAATGTTTTGAAATATTAAACATATACATATAATGAATTATAAGCTGCGTTGGATAGAAATCGACCTTGTTCAAGTGCACGTATGCACCATGATGTGCATGTGTAAGACTTTGACTGATTTTCGAACATTTATATACAAAATAAAAGATACATTTTGGCCTGTGTTATAGGGATTTTAAAACAACTCAATTTTCCAACAGTGTACGACTTTAGTGGCCTTTGGTTGTTTTTTGCTTTTTGGTCGGGTTGTTGTCTCTTTGACACATTCCCCATTTCCATTCTCAATTTTATTTTCGTACAGATTTTTCAAACCGAAAAAGTTTAAAAGATGTATTGATATTGATATGCATAAGGTCGATTTTTATCCGACGCAGCTCAATTATAATAGCATGGCATTATACTCGAATGAAATATTTCAGCTAATCCTGCAATCTGGTTGTTTATGTGGACAGTGTATGGATGACAAGAGCCGATATACCCTCTGAACAAAAACGAATATCAGAATTGTGATTAATATTGAAATCAGGACACTCTGGGACAGTAATTCATATATTCCCTTTCAGAACCCTAAATCCCCTTTGCCTAGTGGCTTATGAGGTATAAAATAATATTAAAATAATAACGGGAAATATGAGCCCATGTCTAATGTGAAGATCCCGAATAATTCTATATAATATGTGTATAATAAACTTTTCAAGTCAGTCAATGGATATATCTAATTTAGTACATTCACCAATACCTTTTATAATGCAATATTTACTGACCTCATAATCATTACTACGAAATATGACATGGAATTTATTGAGGTCTGAAAGATTATAAAAAGAAGGTCGAATATCTGAAATTTTCTGATAAGACATAATGCTTTGCCTGTTCTATTTTCCATCCATAATGCAAGTTATAACTGGAATGTTGTATTTTTTCTTTGTGAAATGAAATCAATGTTGATTTACGGTTATCTTGGTCAAAAAGGTCACGTAGACCAGAGAATAAAACAAGTCTAATCGTTTTCGCTTATATTCAACACTGACAATGACAATAATTATATAATCTGTATGTGTACGGTGTTAAAATATGTTATTGTAAAAAAACTTGCAAAACTTGTTCGTGATTCTTTTAACAATTACGTTTTTCATATCTTGTAATCTTGTAATATTTGACATGGAGTGAGAAATATGAATGTGAAAATGACATCGATTTCTTTAAAAGATGGTGACAAAATAAAACAACAGTCAGATGATTGAATTTCTTCAACAATCAATATGATATATAATATAATGTTTTGTACTTTGCCTTACCTTGTCCTTTTTCCATCTTTTATTTGTGAAAATATTTCAGAGACTGAATATTTCAAAATAGTGTGTTTACCTGTGTAATATATTATCAGGTAAATAGTCTGACGTGCTGTGGAGATAACGGAATTGATTTGTGAGGTGCGTCAATTAGATTTACACATGTGTTTTAAAATATTGACAATAATAAAAGTGTTTTAGTATATTGACAATGATCAAAGAAAACCGGATTTCTGTCGATAATGTATATATGAGGGTCTGGAGACTGAGGGTGCAAAAGAGGGGGGGTCCTTCATTTCAGTATGCTTTCTTTAATTTTTAATGTCATATTTTTCTCTATTCTTTATATTTTTTGTCCATTATTCTATATTCTTTATAAATTAGCACCATTTTTCTCTATTCTTTATTTTTAGGCCATATTTTTTTCTAGTCTTTATTTTTTGGTCCATTTTTCTGTAGATTTGGTTCATTATTCTCTATTCTGTAAACACCATCCACACCCTCATATATAAATGTTTATATATCCCGATTCTTTTGAGGGCAAAAAAGGTCATGAATTTCGCAATTAATTGTGTCATCTTAACTCTGATGACTTGTATTGGCCATTGAACCTTATAATCTATTTCCCACACCAAATTTATTTGTTTTATTGAACTTTTTTTAACTACTGAAAGTAACTTTTTACATATTAAAATAGGACCACCTCTGGGTGCGGGATTTTCTCGCTACATTGAAGACCCATTGGTGGCCTTCGGCTGTTGTCTGCTCTTTGGTCGGGTTGTTGTCTCTTTGACATATTCCCTATTTCCATTCTCAATTTTACTATCCAGTGCTTATTTCATTTACTTCAATTTTTAAATTACCACATATCCCCGATGGTGAAATGGGATATATATAATAGACCACTAAATTCCAATAGGTTTATAATTGTTTATACTTACCAAGTTCAAGCAGGCTTTAAACGTTTTAAGTTTCACGTGTATATAGTAGTAACTTTGGATTGCAGCACACATGTTTTACACATTGACTTCTCCTGTAAACTGGGAACTTGTTGGAAAGCAAATATATAGCAGAATCTACGACTTGGTTAAGGAGGCTATTACCCGTAGCAGTAATTATAGTCAGTGGGATTTGGTTGTTTGCAGCAGATGTTTTAAAGTCTGTTTTTATTCACAACCTTTTTTTCATAGGCTTGGGGCGATTAGTAGTCTTATACGGAAATGATATACAATTACTGTTGTCGATCAACCATTGCGTCTGATTCATTTTTAAGTATCAGTTTGCTTATTTACACGACTAAACGTTATTTTTTTCTGTATCAAAACTCTATCATTTGCTGTAGGCATTGCATAAGGTCTTGTCTCCCCGCACTGTGTACGATATTGCTTAATGAAATCTTCTGAAATGTACAGCCGCCGATATTACAGTACAGGATTGCACGATTTCTATATCGGTAGGTTAAATTCTTTTTGCGATTGTTTCTTTTAACTAAGGGTCCGAATGATCTCAAGCTTTTTTATACTTATGAGGTCGATCAGAATCTTTACATTAGTCTTTATAACCGTACAGCCTATGGCTATTGTCATCACTGCATCAGGATATCACAGATTAGAATTTATAGTATAAAGGTATGGTTTCATAAGTTGATTTTTACCTTTCATTTATGTTCCAGCCTTCGATTTCAAGTACATATGGTCTAGTATCACTGTTTGATGCGATCGATATTACCATGAACTACAATAATACCATTCTTAGTATAATCTTTACGAAAAATACATTTAAATAATATTGAATAGTACCGCTTTTTTCTATCTTATGTACTCCATGATTGTTTGGTCCAATGTAACTTTTTTTCACATCTTCATCCTAACAAACATTAAGACCAGTGTCATCTTTTGGTTTCTTTGATAATATATATAATTGATCTACTGTTATATTTCGCCTTTCTAAACCATATTCCTTAGTGTCACATTTAAAACTTGGTCCAGCATCACTGATGGACCTTTAGACCAACGTCATTTAATTTCACCCTTTGATCGTATAGGTACAGTATCCTTTTAAGTACAATTAAGTAGCGCTATATTTTAAAAACACATCACCCAAGTCCTAAATGTATGGTCGGGAATCATCTTTCGGAAGGGGCTCGGGAACACACACTGAACCTTTATACCATATAATCTAGTTTTATTCTTCCGAGCAAGTATCTAGCATGCATGAAGCCTTCAAACCCGTTTGTTCATAAGGGTCTGGATGGGGTTTTAAGAATAAGGAATCATGGGCAAAATATTTTACCGATCAATACTCGATCATCTCGACCTTTTCTCGACTAATATTCCACCGCTTCCTGACCAACGCCATCCTGTTTCATCTGTGGTTCAGATTAACTCGACCAATGCCCGATCGCTTCCCGATCCCTGCGACTCCTATTGTTTTTTTATACCAGACCAACTCGACAAATACCCGATCTCTACTCGACCAAATTCGACCAATTTTCGATCTCTACTCGGTCATACACGAGGACACATGACTGCTACAAGATTCTATAAAAGGGTGTGGAGATCTGATCAACTCCCATAACCTGCTGCGGTGATCTCAGGTGCTCCGGAAGGGTAAACAAAAGCTGTAATACACGTTGCACCTGTAGTATTGCTTACCAATCCGGTGACATGTCTTATTTGGTGATGTCATTTTCATGAAAAGAAGAGTAAATTTTACAAATAAGAAAATACAAACAGGTTCAAATTATTATTATTATTATTATCTTAAGGATTTCCATAACTCTAGGGATCTCCTTATAAACATGCAATCGAGAAATTTCTGTGAAGATTATGCTGTGTAATGCATGCAAGAATGGTGGAATCAATGGTCTCTGGAGACTGATTCAAGCTGCCAAGAAGGCGCCATTAAACCGCATGGCAAGGATACCAAATGCGTTTTACGCCAATCGCCTTTCACGGGAAAGTCTGCAAAGTAAAAACAAACAATGTGTAATTATACAAAATTTATTCAAATGCAAGAATTTTATCACAAGTTATTGATAACTTTGTTGTTCATTTCGCAAATTAATAGCAATAAAACAATTGAAAATCCGTCGTTATATTAAATCAATAGAATTCCTTTTCTTTTGCATTTCATCAGTACCGGTAGAGACTAAAAAGGGAATACCATGATGAAAAATTGTTTTGAAAAAAAAAATAAAAAAATGATACACTCAAACAGCAAAAGATATATGTAAGGATTATGATATTTTATAACTAACCTTACTTTATTTTGCTAAAAGCAGTTCCTAACTTTGTTATAAAAGACTAACCTGTCATTGACTATGCGTTCTTCGTTGGTTAGGTTACGTCTGGAGTATGGCTTCATCATCCAGGTTCTCAAAGGGAATGCATCATCTCCAGTCATGAAGAATTGAGTGCTTTTGTCATCGCCAGGCAGTGGGTCAGGTGACGGCGCAGCATACCGATGTTGTTTTCCTCAATCAATATCCTAAATTCAGACTGGTTGAACAGCTGGGCGTCGGACTCACTTCCATTAGCAACAACACTGACCTTTATGAACTTGTAGTCTGCGTCGATGATGGTCAGTAGTATGATTGAAATCAATCCTTTGAAGTTGTAGTACAGTGTACCAGAGTTCGTTGGGTACTTTATCCTTGCGTGCTTGCCATCTAGTGCTCCACATGCATAAGGAAAATTCCACTTGACTTGGAAGTCATTGCAATCTTTTGCCACTGTATGGATTTTATGACGGCTGGCATCACCTCTTCCGAGTACCCATGTATTACAGCTTCCAAAACTTCCTGAACGGACAAGCAAATTGTGTTTTAGCCACTCGGAATGATTACATGAGCTCTGCATAAGAAACGCAAGTTGCGAGATGGCGAAGGGTGACAGCCAATTTCAGTCCAGGCTCTAAGGCTTCTCTGAAATATAAAAAAAGTTTGACTACCACATGTCAAGATAAGAATCATTTGACATCTTACTGATGAATGATATTAGTTATCCGAAATATTAAACATTTGTTCATTATTTCCCTTTTTTCTTGTGATGTTGTACCCTTTAAGACTTGTATATTATATATTATATGTTGTAGTGTACTGTATCATAATTATATGATCCATCGGCCCGTAAGATTTATCGTTGGCTAGTATTCAGACATTTTATATCATTATATATAATTATATGCTCGCCTTTTGCATTTAAAATCTTAAGATGGATTGTTAATGAGAAGCATTCGGATGATAGTGATGAATTTGTGTTTAACGTCCAGTGACAAATATCACATGCATATCGGAACGAGAACACGTTATGGCGTTTTGAGTATGAACCCTGATTTGTACAAGACAGGCATGATGAGGTGGATTTTATACGTGTTACTGCACCACGAAACAGTCCAAAAGACGAAAGTTCACAATATCAGGACTCATTATATTCCTACTCTGAGCAGACACATTGTTGCTCTTTCTCCTTAATACCGCTTATAGTGGTGAAGCAGAAATAAAAAATTTCAAGTTTGCCGACTACGCGTACGGCATGGTCAGGTATCGAAACGGCCACCTCAGTTCTGCAATTTTGGCAAGCTAGCCACCACGTGACAACTCAAGCGGTTAGAACCATTGTTTGATGGCAAATTATTATCTTCTTAAGAGAGGCGGAAGACACCAAGGGAATATTAAAACTCATAAGTCACAGACAGGGGTAATCTCAAGGACTCACAAGGAAGAAGTAAGCAGATCTGGATCAACATATGGCACTCTTCGTGTTGCTTATGTAAGTTCATGTACAAGGTCGGTGCGTGATAAGTCTCATACGGCATGGTCAGGTATCGAAACGGCCACCTCAGTTGTGCAATTTTGGCAAGCACGCCACCAATGTGGGCACGTGACAACTCAAGCGGTTAGAACCATTGTTTGATGGCAAATTGTTATTTTCTTTAGAGAGCCGGAAGACACCAAAGGAATATTAAAACTCATAAGTCACAGAAGACAAACTAGCAACGTCATGGCAAAAAAGTGAAAAGTGTATAAAACACAAAATTCAAAACTCAAGACTGAGCAACACGGACTTGATTTGAACCAATGTACCAAAACAGGGGTAATCTCAAGGACTCTCAAGGAAGAAGTAAGCAGATCTGGGTCAACATGTGAC